TAAATAGCAGGAATCCCCAGTTTCTGCGGGATGATCAAATTGCTGTAGCCCCTCCCTGAGCACACACCCCCACTGAGCACACAGCCCTCCAGGAGCATACAGCCCTCCCTGAGCACACACCCTTGCTGAGGAACACATAGCCCTCACTGAGCATAAACCTGGGAGAGCAGGACAAGGATTAGTTTTCTTCAGTAATCTGCAGGAGGCCACCTTCTTAGGGAGGTCTAACCTAATTGACAAGCATTTGTGGGGACTTCAGTGCACTACCTGAACCCCCTTTAATGAAGGCAGGTGGACAGCAGACAGCCAACAATGATTGCTTCCCCACTAGCTGTAAGAGAAAATGTGATCTCTCAAAAGCAAACTAAAAGTGCTGAATGAAAAAAATGAAATACAAAGAGGACAAGACTGATACTAAGGGGTTGAGGTTTTTATTATAGGTAGAAGGGAGAGACCAAGGAGATGCAGATATGACCAGCAGACGGGGCCAAGCCTTGTGAAGGGATGGAGAGAGGGGAATCAGGAGCAGTGGCCAAGGGGGCAAGGGGCAGAGGGCCAAAAGGACCATGTAACCAAAATGACTGGCATGTGTAAAAATCAGAGAAGCTGGAGGAAGGAAAAGCCCTGCTCAGTCCCTGGCCTGGAGAAGTTTAGGGTAAGGGGCGGGATATGACAGCCATACCTGTAACTGGCAGGGACTGCGGGATGCTTGGAGGGAGAACCTGGTGGCCAGCATCAGCTTTGATGTGTTAATGGGCACCCCAGTTAATCAGTTTTTCCAGAGGGGGCGGTGAGATCTAACAGGTAGAGAAAGATTGTGAGACGCAGAGGATTAGGATGTGCACTGTGGATAAATCCACATACGACATGGGCTGTGACTAACTTCATCTAAGACAGAAGAAGGAAGGAGTAAAGTTTGTTAGACACACTGAGGCACAACCACAGTGAGCAAAACAGTAAAGAGAAGCTGGCTGCAGAGTCAGGCTCAGGAGTCACTGCTAAGGGGGACTCTACAGGGCAATGGGGCAGCACACCCCCCCTCTCTTTTCTATAAACCCACCCATATAATATTAACACTATAGTGGCCCGAACAATGACAACGCCAGTGACAGCCCAAAATAGATGGAGGAAAACCCACAATGAAGAGCTACAGACAATGAAGGTCTAGTGAGAGGGAAATAATCTTCCCCAGAACCCTAGAGATGAACCCCCTATTTGGCTATCGATACCAGTGATCAGTCGTGTGTGTGTGTGTGTGTGTGTGTGTGTGTGTGTGTGTGTGAGCAACACTAAATAAACACAATAGGTGGTATCTATAGGTTAATTCACTTATTCATATATAGATACACATATATAATATATAATTTTTAAGAGACCATGAATTTGAGAGAGAGTTTGGGAGGAATCAGAGGATTAAGGGAAAGATGTAAATACAGTGCATAAATATAAAATTTAAAGACAAATTCACTAAGTAAAAAATGAAAAGCGAGGGGGTACTCATTCTTTTAAGCAAAAGCTACGTTCTCTTCTAATTGTATTCTTCAGTTGTCAAGAAAAACAGTTAATTCACACTTAAAGTGGAAAGACAGCACAGTTCGTGGATGGGTGGCATAGCTGGACCCGAGGGCTCCCAATGATGCCAGCAGGAGCCTCTCCATCTCCATCTTCTCACATCTATTTTTCTCTCTGCGCGTGACCTCATCTTCTCTCTCTTTTATACTGAAAATAGCCTTTCTGTTGTCAGGGAGAGTGGCCTTGGACAGCTCCTGCTTGCTTTACCCTTTCAACTCCAGATCCAGTGGGAAGAAAAATGGCAAAAGCTGCCTCTCTCCCCCTCCCCTAGAATCTTTAAGCAAAAACCAGAGAGGATAACAATTGGAGATACATCACTCAGGATCAGCTGGGGCACAGAAACCCAAACAGGCACAGTTTAATGTATCCTATTTCTAACTAGAAGTGTGTAGAAAGTGGTTTACCTGAACCGTTAGTCCTGCCCCTTTTACCTTTGTGAAGGAAAAGTCACTAAAACCCAAGAAAAGACTCAGAATCAGGGAGTTGGCGGGTGGAGACAAGCAGCGCCTAGCTGCAGGCTTTAGGGGCTAGAACAACGGAAGACAAAAGCTGCATGTTATCCCCCACGTTTGGATCCTTGTCTCAACTGTTAACCATGTGTGTCTAAGTGGGAGTGAATATGAGTGAAGTCCAGGAAGCTACACAAGGACGGTGAGCCCCGGGGGCATAAAGATGAGCCGGGTGCAAAGGCACAGGAGCAGAGCAGAGCGCAGGTGATACTGAAAGGATACAATCAGGAAGAGAGGCCGGGGCATGACAAGCGGGATGGGCATGGGAGACAGAAAGTCAACCAAAATGAAAGATGAAACACCTAAGTAAAAAACTATTTCTGACAAGCTACTCAAATAATAATAGTAATAGTAATTTAAAGATCCTAAGGAATAAAAAAAAAAAAAGATCATCGTTGAATAATGGTGAGCTGGAGAGCCCTCCAAGGGGCATGGCTACATAAGAAGCCGAAGCTGCTGCTGCTGCGGCTGGTGGTGGTGGTGGTGGTGGTGATGGTGGTGGTGGTGGTGGTGGTGGCGGCGGCGGTGGTGGTGGTGGTGGCAGTGGTGGTGGCGGTGGTGGTGGTGGCGGCGGCGGTGGTGGTGGTGGTGGTGGTGGTGGTGATGGTGGTGGTGGTGGTGAGGAAATTCACCACGAGGCACAGAGAGAGGTCTTCCTACAGAAGCAGCTTGCCAACCTGGGAGGGAGTGGACTGGATGGGCTACGCCTGCCCTGGAGAAGCAGCCCCCTTGTCAGAGAGCCAGGCTGAGGGAAGTCTCTGGGTAAGGCGACGGGTGAGTACCAGTCATACGATGTGATAGCCACCAATCAACTCACGGTGATAGCTGTCATCACACAGAGATATTTGGCCGGCACAGTTCTTAAAGCCTTACAGATGTTAGCTTATTTCATCTCCCTGGCCCGAGAGCCAGGCAGAGGATGCAGAGAGAGCTCCTGCTGTATAGTCACAAGGCTCTCACAACCATGGTAACAGAGAACCATGAAGGGCAGTATCTTTTGATGCTGTTGCCTTGCAGGGGTACTCAGTCCAAGTCCTCCCAAGCTTCTCCTCAAATTTATGGCCTCTGTCAACAGATTTTTAGTACATAATTTTAAAGAATTATGTAGACTATATGTGTAGCTATATATGTATATAGAATTATGTAGACTATATGTGTAGCTATATATATATATATATATATATATATATATATATATATATACTTACATACATGGCTTTACCATTCTGCTAGTAGGCAAACCCAAAATATTTCTAGGGCTCAGCCTCAAGATTGTAAAACAAAGAGAAAAAGAGCAGGTTTTGGACAAGGAGCCAATAAATTAGGCGCAGTCCTACTTGAGACACATGCACAACCCTGAACCACTCATGCTAAGTAAGGGAAGGACAATGCCCATGAGCCAAGTCCAGGCCAGGTTCACGAGTTTGTTGCTGTGCCCAGAGCTAATACAAGGCAAACAGCTTCTCTTCTATAGGTAGAGGGCTTCTCGCAGGCGAGGGGAAAGGAAAGAATACTAGAGAAACACCAGATAGCTGGGGTCATTGGTTCAAGAAAATTAAAGCCCTTCTTTAGGCTCAACAGCACTGCAATTCACTCAGTGCTTAGGAAGCTGATCTTTGCCAGCCCTAAACCACTGCCATGCTCACAGACTCAAGCAAAATTGTGACGTCTAAACAAGAAAGGACCCCCCAAAAAGAAGACTACAGTGAGAACGGGCACAGTGGGGAAGCTCCAGATAATCACAGTCCCAACCACCTGTGCATTTTGAAGAGGAAGCACTGGGCACAGTCAACACCCTGGGCTCCACTGAGGCTTTGGTTGCGCCTCCACCTCCGAGCTCTTCTGCCAGCTTTGTTCCACACCCTTACATGCCACTTCCTCAGATCCTTGCTAAGGTGGTTGGATGAAGAATGGTCCCCATAGGCTCAGATATTTGACTGCTTGGTCCTCAGTTGGCAGAATTGTGTAGCAAGGGTTAGGAGGCGTGTCCTTATTGGAGAAGGTGTGCCACTGTGGGTGGGCTTTGCAGTGGCAAAAGCCCACACTAGATCCAGTCTCTCTCTCTCTCTCTCTCTCTCTCTCTCTCTCTCTCTCTCTCTCTCTCTCTCTGCCTCCTGCCTGGGGATCAGGATGTAAGTTCTCAGCTACTGATCCAGCTCTGTGCCCGCGTGCCTGCTGCCACACTCCCTGTCAGGATGGTTGTGAACTCACCCCCAGCAAGCAAGTCCCCAGTTAAATGTCCTCTTTTATTAATTCCTTTGGCCATGGCATCTCTTCGCAGCGATAGGACCGTGACTAAGACACCTCATACAGTCTTCCTCCCAAGTTTTCCCTTCTCTTGTGGGCCGTGTTCTCACTTGCGTGGGCCAAATGCTTATTTGGTGTCCCTCTCCTCTATTAGACCATAAGCTCCTTGAGAGGAGAAAATTCATCCTCCTGAGAAACAAATGTAAGGAATGCTTCCCTCTAGCAGGTGCCTAACAGGTTTTCATTTGGGTGGAGACACACATAGAATTAAAGTGGGCCCATAGAAACGGCCATCTTAAGACTACTTTAGGCCAAGGAATTGGTGCAAACTCTTGGAAGCAAGAGCTTGTGTGCATCACAGGGGCGAGGAGAGAGACCTGTTGGAAGCGTTAGCAGTAAACACGGGTGCCTTTTTTTCTGCGCAGTGAAAGCGAAGTTCTTAATGGAAGATGATCTGAATCAATAGCGCCAGACAGCTGATTTATATAACGGCTTCAAGCTGAAGCCGTGGTCTTTCTCTGCATAGTGCTGCCGTGCAAGGGGAAAGGCTGCCGACCCGGAGGCTCCACAAGTAGACCTGTGGCCATCTGTCAGAGTTCATCAATATGCTCCCCCATCAGCGAGCCAGCCCAGAGCGCCCCGAGAGCTGCTTGCAGCAGGCCCGATGCTGAAGATGCCGAGGGGGTTAATAAATACTGGATTGGGGCTGCTGAGGTGGGGCTGCCACTGTCGGGAGCTGGGCCTTTCGCTCTGAATAAGAAGGGTTAGAGTGAGAATCCCAGGGCTTGCACACCCAAAGGAGACTTAAGCTGCAACAAGCAGCAGCCACCGCAAGGAAAGCCTGAGCCAGGGGGAACCCGAGATGTCATCGCTGGTGAAGGAAGACTTGGAGAAAAAACTGTTTAAGCCGCTGGCGCAGAATCTCTGCGAGTTTATTGAGATCGAGTTCTCGGTCCAGGACAGGTATTACCTCTGTGTGTCAGGTAAGCAGCGCTTTCTAGTATCGTTTCAAAATGCAAAGAACTCAAAGGTGAATACGGGGTATAGGGAAGCGTTGTCTGTCTTCCTATCCAGCTCAGGCATGCATGGAGCGTCTTGAGAGTTTAAGTAGCCAGGTTAAGGAATGTATATTCTACGGACTTTTAGAGCGCTAAGGAGCACCCCCTCCCAAAAAAATGTATTAGACAACATTAATGGTTCAGAAGTGAAATTGGATCTGTACTTCTCTTGGTTTGATTTTTTTCTCCAGTCTCTCACTCAATTTGCTTCACAGCAAACAATTTTGTTGTGTAAAGGCTCACTTAAAAAAATCCAGCAGCATTCTGAATATGATTAAATACATCACAGAACCCAGTTATATAGCCATTCCCAATGCCTTTCTATATAGAACAAAAATGGAACCTTAGACTTTTCCTCCAAGGACCTAATGATACTTCCTGGTGGTTAATTTGAAGAAAGAAATCCTCTTTAGAAACATTCTCTTACAGAAAAACAATACCAATACTTTAATAGTAGATATTAGCTCAAGAAGACAGAACTTTAGGGAGGAGAGCACAATCCCTAATGTAGAGATCTGACATATAAAGAACTTAGTAAAATACGTATTTCCTTTCTGTTACCAAAATATAAGAAAATTGTCCGTGCACTGGCTTTTTCATTCATTATGATGTTCCAAACTTTTTATGAATTTATGTAGAAATGTTGGTGTCATTATCTCATTATTGAATTTGGCATGCAGCTCTCTCTTTTCCTGGCCCAAGCCTCTTTGTCCCCTTCGCAGGCTTAGGAGGAAAGAGCTCGGCAACCCTAGGGCTACTTGCAGATGTTCCTCTTTAAGGCAAACGCCCATTATCACACAGCTCATTACCTCTGTCCTCCTGACAACTGGTCTTTAAGAGCGTTCTAAACTGAGAGGAAGCCAAGCATCTTTGAAGAAAGGTCTAAGAATTCTTTAGAAGGTTACAATTTCTAATAAATATAGAAGAAATTATCCAACAACAAGAATAGTAATACTTATCTAATGCCTAAGCTTATTTTACTACACATCTGAAATATGGGGGATTGGCATGTCAACAAATGTAAGAGACTTAATCCATTCATAAAATCAATTAGGCTATGTAAAAAGAGAAAATAAAACTACATAATAGATCACATTGTGTTCTCATCCACCCAGTCACTGAATCAAAAGGTATTTTTACTCACTCTGCTAAAAGAGGCTGTCTATTCTAATATAAAATAGAATAATTTTTTACCTATTATGACTCTTGCTTTATAAAAGTAGCTTCTCATACTGGCAGAATTTTAAAATAAAAGTTTTAAAATTAGAATAGTCGTGGTAAGTTATAAAATCTAATTTGCCAAACATATCTTAGGGGCTCCCTTTAATAATTATATAATTAACTAAGCTTGATATTATATAATTAGTTAGTTAATTATATAATTAAACATTTGTAAATTATTTATTCAGGGATTCTGAAATCAAGCTCCTCTCGAGGTCAGGAAGAAATGATTTCGGGATATTCCACCTAAAGTTAACACACACACACAAAAAGCCTTATTAGTTCCTCATTTTCATGGCTATACTTTATGTCCATTGGGAGAACTTTCCCAAAATTTAACACTTATTTTAAACAACCGTTACAAAAACATTTCAACCAAACAGCAGTTTAAATGATTCTCGACAGTGCCAAGAGAGTGAAAATACTTCACCTGGAAAACATCTATTGACAGGAATCAAGCAAGTCACTGGATACTTGTTGAAGCGGGTGGCTCCATACTTCAAGTACTGTCTACCTTCAGGGAGTAGGGTCGCAAAATTTCCTCTTCATCCTCTTTAACCCTTTCATCTTGTGGTTCCTGCATATGAGACCCATTAGTCCAGAGTCGTCATATTCCATTGCATTTTTCTGATTAAAGATAATACATTTAACCATGATTGAACTTCCTTCTTATCTGAGCAGAGTCCATCCTTTGTAGTGGTCCCAAAACTAGGATTGTTTTCTATTCCATCTTGATGATTCAAAGACGGACATCAGAATAAGATACCATACACTCAATGCCCTTGTGGGAAGTTAGCTACAAAGTACATCGGGCATCCCCTGGAACCTCCTTCCTTTGCATCTCAGGCTTTGCATGGTGTCTTCTCCCTGGGGACCAGTTTATCCCATCACACAGCACCAATCTTCCTGGCAGTTCAAAGCCGTGTCTTCCAGTGTAGGGAGGAGCTCTGTTTCCTGCAGGAGCGAGGAAAAAATAAGTCACACATGTAAAGCGAAGCGTTTGAAAACCTGTGTTGTAGCATTAGCCAAAACTGAATAGGAAGTAAAAGGGCATGGTGGGACAGACCTGGAAATTCTTGACATCAGATCATATTGGGAAATCCGACCCTGATTTATTGCCTGTCAGCTCTGAAGTTGGGCATAAGATAGTGATCCTTCATGGCCTTGTTGCTCACATCTCTGAAATAGAAATAAAAACAGGGTAGTTGCTCTATGAACTCACAGTGGTTGTGACAGTATGTCTGTGTAAAGCTCAAGCTAGATAAAATCCCACCATGGTGTGGGGAGGTGGCTAGGAATCCCTTCCCTAGCTGAGGAACCATTGGCAACCGGCAGGTGCTGGGAGAAGGGGAGTCAGTTCCTTTTAAGGGTGTAGCTCTTGGTGGGTTGGCCATGCTCCTGTTGACGACCACATGCCCAAGAGCATGTGACAAATTAAACTTAATCGTTTAAAAAAGAGTGGAGGGACTCAAAGTTGAGTGGGTAGGTAAGGTGGGCGATGAATCTGGGAAGAGTTGGATGGGGGTAAATGTGATCAAAATATGTTATATAACATTCTCAAAGAACTCATAAAAAATTTAAACACCTCTAAAGTGCTCCCCTACAATTCTCCCTTCTGAATTTTTATTAATGATAGTTTATATTCTAAGCAAGTAAAAGTAGAGCCTTGAAAGAGGTAGCTCAGAGTTTTAAAACATATAGAAAAATATTTAATGTCTATATATATATACTGGATTATATATATATATAAATATGTTGTAAATATATCTGTATAATAAAAAATAAAATATATAATAAAAACTTTATATACTCTGTTGCTTTTAAAATTATGCATATACTCATGTATAGATTATTTTAAGTGTTCTTATACTTTTAGGAAAACATTTTTCAATCATGGTATTTTTTAATAAAAATTACTTAATTGTATTGAACTCACAAATAAAAACAGCATGCAACTAGTTTAAGGAGCCCACTCAAATACTTGACTAGTCCTGATCTATGCATTTTTATATTTCTTTCTTTTTTAATTAAAAGTTGTTTTCAGTACAATATCTTTTGATTATGTTTTCCACTACCTCAGCTCCTCCCAGATCCTCTCCAGGTCCCTCCCCACTCAACTTAATGTTCTCTCTCCTCACATTCTCTCTCCCTCCAGTTCTCCTCCCCTCTCCCTCCTTAAAAAAAAAGAAAAAGAAACAACAAAAAAGAAAATCAAAACAAATAAGCAAAAGACCAACAAGACAAAAAATGCCAAAAAAACCAAAAAGTCCACAAAAATACCATTGAGTTAATTTTTGGTTGGCCTTACACCTCCTGGGCCTGCCCTGGAGCGTGGTTGTACACCCGTGAGACTCCACTGGATAAAACTAATTTTCCTTTTACCATCTGGTATCAATTGCAAATAGCTTCTCAGTTAGGAGTGGGACCCCTGTCTGCTTCACTTCCAACTGCTAGGACCCCATCAAGCTCGAGCCTGTCTAGGTCCTGTGCCTGCTGCCACAGTCTCTGTGAGACTATGCGTCTCGGGGAACTTCAGTACAGTAAGAGTTACCACTCTGAAGCCGTGGACCTCATGGAGGGTTTTACATTTTTGCCATCAGCCACATTTTTATGCTGCACCACGTGTAACCAGCACAAAAACTATAAAGTTTTGAAGAAGGGAAACTGCTTAATCACTTTCTTTATTAGGGTGAAACCTCGTAGCTGAGATGACAGGGAGGGCCGTGAGGTCTGCCTGCTCAGAGTCAGACGTGAGTTCACTTAATGCCATTTCCGTGACTTCTCCATTTTCGACTTTGTGCAGATGAGATGCTTTACAGATGAAACGACACTCACGAGAAGTTAAGTGATTAACCTAAGGTTACAGATTCTCATTCTCAACCCAAACTTCCTTCCACATCTCCACACTCTAACTGATCATAGCTGCACCTCTTAGCTCGTGTGTGCAGATACTTCAAGAATTTCGTGTATGTTGGCTCATTTGTCACTTCGTACAGACAATGAAGTCAGAGTGCAGTTGCCCAAGATCACCAACCAGTAGATAACAAAGGGAGGCTTGAAAGCCAGGTCCATGTGTGCTTAGCCTTTCTACCACGTTGCTTTCGGTGGTAGACTAAGAATATTCTAGCATGGAGCTGATCAAACAAACCTGGGATAAACCTCACTGGCTGGCAGTTTTGCTGCTTTGATTCTTCTGTTTCTACAAAAACCAGCTTCTTTCTTTTCCACGTCTTGTATTTCTATAAGTTTACCAATAACACAAGCCCTAACTTGTTTAAAGCCAATCATTTTGCTATTTTAAAGACTCATGATGCACCCTGAAATGGATTTTATAAAGACATTTCTAGAAAAATTTTATTTGAAAATATGATTTTGGTGAAATCAGCCTTAGCCTTCTCAACAACCACAGGGCATTAGCAATCGAGTGTGACATTTCACTGAGGCTTTTAAAAGTATTTCATGATGACTTCTTCTGTGATTTAATTTAAATGATGAAAACCATTACATAACACCAGATTACAAAACGAAAGAAGCATCTATTTATTTAATGCATTTCTGGGAGACTTAATTGTGAGTTTCACATTTCCTCGATCTTGACTAATTTTTTTCAAACCAATTGGCCAATGGCCAGTTCTCTTTCCATTAGCTTCCTAAATGCTGATGTTTTTTTAAAAGGTAATGGGGATTTCTTAAAGACAAAGCTTCCTTTAAAATTGAAATAGTGATGGTTATAAAAATTGGAATTCTGAAAATATCCACTGAAATGTAAAACCTGGGAAAATGGAATAAAATCTTAAATCCAGAGCAGGCTTCTTCTACAGCTCCCCAGAACTGTAGATGTCACCCCTAAACCATCGCTATCTCCCCTAAACTGTAGTTACAAACCACATCTGTAGATATCATCCCTAAACCACAGTTACAAACCATATCCATAGATATCACCCCTAAATCACAGTAACAAACCGGATCCTCTGAGTAAGAGAAAACAACTCGCTAACATTCACACTTTATAAAACACATTTGGGCTCTTAAGACAATGTGACAAGTTTCCATTTTCCAACTGCATTAATGTGGAGGCAGCCACTTAATTCCAGCTGGCAGCCAAGCCCAAATGCGGAAATCAGGGATTGGGTCAACTCCAGCCTCAGCAGACTCCTTTGGCTCGTGGCTGAAGAGAACTCTTGGAAAGTCCTTAGCACTAAAGTAGGCTGTCATTTTGTCAAATGAAGGAGACTGCTCTCCCTCCGCACCACGCCATCTTGCACAAGCTTAGCTTCCAGGCACATCCTTATGTTGTCTGAGTCTCATACAAAGAGGGAAATGACCACTATCGTAAGAAAATTTGGTCCCTGGTAGGGATTATCTTCTTAACATCTTTTCTCCTCTCCCTACCGCCAGCCCATCCTTTATGCAAATCATGGCCTCTCCATTTATCTAATCCCTTCCAGTGGCACCCCGTGTGTACACAGTTTTCAGAATAATGTCCGAACCTATTCCAGTCCTTGCAGGAGCAAACGCCTCCCTACCTTTCTTCCTGTTCACCTTCTTGCTTCACGCCAACAATACCAAATACTTGCCATGACTCAAAAAATGCCGGATGTTTTGTGCCTTTGCACCCATGCATTGCTAAAATTGCCTTTATCCCTTTCTTCCTTCTAGTAAGTTCTGTTGTCTTTGACAATTCGGGTTCATCCCTCTCTGAGCCTTATTTCCTGCAGTCAGAGAGATGGCCATGCCCCTCCTCTATTGTCCTGGCCACACCTCTCTTCCTTGGCCCTCATCCAACAGGGCCTCATTCACACACTGCTCACAACACCCTTTGCAGATTTTCTTCTGAAGCTTCCACTCCCTGCAGCCACAGTGAGAGCAGGAATGGGGCCTTATGGGAATTCATTAATTTTTTTCGATTCCTAGCACTGTGCTGGATTCACAGGGGACATTTAAATATTTATAGGCTTAATGAAGAGGGTGAGTGGCTCCACAGTCAATCAGCAGGCTTTCATAACTTGTAGACGATGCCATGAGATTTGCTCCCTGAAAATCATACTTCCGTACGATGTCCAGTTATCTCTCCAAATCTCTTTACCCCTGTCACTTCTCGGCCCCTCTGCTGCTACTGAGACAGCAAGCTGGGGCAATAACAGTCCTGATTCTGAGGAGGATCTTCTAACTAGACAAGCACACTGCCTCCTCGTGGAAGCTACAAAACCTTCCCCTTCAGCCCACCGTCCTTGTCTTGTGTGTACATCTTCCCAAGGCTAACAGGTAGGCCCATGCGCTTGGATCTTCTTTGGAGCCAGAGAAATATAGAAGTGTTTAAATACACCAACTTCTCACAATGTCAGGAAGATCCCAGAGTCTCTGCTTTCACTGACCCCAAGTTAAGACCTATAATTGATGTCTTATCCAGACATGCCCCTCAATCACTTCCTCTGTCCCCAAATATATCATCCCTTCTCCTCGAGTGTGTGGTGTACACCATACCCTTTAACCTCTCCTCCTACCAGCTTTTAAAATCTTACCTGGCCCAGTGTAGTGATATTTCATTTGTATTTTAATGAATAAAGCTTGCCTAAAGATCAGAGAGTAAAATCGCCCACTGGTCAGCCTTACAGACCAGACAGTGGTAACACACACCTTTATTCCCAGTAACACTAGTTGCCATAGAAACCTGGTGGTGCATGCCTTTTATTCCAGTGGTGTACATCTTTAATCCCAGCCCCAGAGAGGAATAAAAGATGGGAGGAAACGACTCTCACACAGTGTCTCATTCTGAGATTCCTGGAGGCAGGCTTGTCATTTCGGACTGAGGTAGAGGTAAGAGCCAGTGGCTGGCTGTTTGCTTTTCTGACCTTCAGGTTGAACCCCAATTTCTGTCTCTGAGTTGTTATTATTTGTGCTACTGTCCAGGGGCCAGCACACAGCATACGTGGAATCTGTGTTAGTGCATGGAGTCCTTGCATGTTAGTGCAAGCTGCCTTCTCCAGTCACTACATAGAAATAGCCTTCAGGGCAGGAGTCAGTGATCTTCCTCAAGTCAGATGTAGACCCTTGCCTCTCTGTCTCAGCTCAGTGACTCCACAGGAGTGTCCTCAAGCTCTGAGCTACTCTCATTGGCTGATTTCCATGGCATGATGCTGTCGGGCCTGCCTCTTCCTTTCTCCTCCAGCCTCTTAACTATCATCTTTTCTCTCTCACTTCTTTCCCCTGAAAATGTTGCCTTGAGTCTTACCTTGAAAATCATCCCACAGACACAAGCCCCAAATCATTCCAAGACTATGAAACTTCCATCTCAGTCCCTGCTGAGGTAAGTGGCAGATACTTCACCTGTATATCACATTTATTCCACTGTCTGGCCCACCTCCACCTCCTTTCCATTTGGATTCACCAACATTGTTTGGTTCCCACCATGTATCATCAAAACCTCACCTGAAACTTTACTTCAATTTGCCGATTTGTTTTTTTACCATCCACACACCATTCTGAGGCTACCAACAACCATGGATGTCTATTGGGCACTCTCCTGAGTCATTTGTGTGCTTTAGTTTTTCCATGAGTCTGTTTTATTCTCGCGACCCCTTCCTAACACCAGTGAGTGACATTTATTCTCTAGAGATTAATGATCTCTTGTAAACCACACTGCAGAGGTGTCAGGATGTGACTCCAGGACATGGCACAGCAGGCCCACTGAGAGCATTGTCTCTTCCCCCAAGGTCCTTCAGCTCCATGACCTTCTCTGATGAGTCTTGCGCATTGTGCTGCCAGAGAAATTCTTGCACAGGACACCGCATCATTAAATCCTGGCTCACTACTGACGAGGTGTTGCTGTAGGAACTTGCACAGAACACCTGACGCAATGCCCGTAAGCTGGACTTGTCAACTGGCCCCGACTCCCTTCTCTAGGAAGCTGGACTCACTCTGTCAACTCTGGGATCAGCTGGTCACTTCTAGATTCCCCACAACTCCAGAGTGGCGTCTGCCTCTTTTGAAGTCCAAAGCCATTTAAAACATTTTAACAACTTTCCAAACCTAACTAATCGTATTGTCCACCGCATCTTAATTCCAACGAATCTATGCAGTCCCCTCTCTTCCTTTCACCTGGTAAGATTTTCCTTTCATTGTCAGGTCCCTCAGACTGTCCCTCTCCCGGAAGTGCCCACATAGCGATCCTCTGTTTCCACTCTGTATAGTCTGTTCATGTCTCTCATTTATGACTATGATTATATCCTAGTGTATTGTTTTATATCTACATAGCTAAAAAGTCATGTGTCTGTCTCAGTGTGATTTGTGCTGTAAAACAAATGACTCATGACTTAGGAATTTGTAAAGAGCAGATTCATTTCTCAGAGTTCGGTGGGAGATGAGGATTCCAAGACTGAGGAGCTCACATCTGGCGACAGCCTTCTTGTTACATCATCTGTAGTAAAAGGCAGAGAGAGAAAGAGTGTGAGAGGGAAAACAAGAGAGGAAAAAAGATGTGCAAAGGTCAGACCGAGCATCCTTTCACTTGGAGCATCCTCCAGCAAAAGCTACCCCACCCCTGCCATGGCACCATCGATCCATTCATGAGGGCTCTGACCTCCTGACCTAATCTCTGAAAGGCCTCACCTCTCAACATCACTGCAGTGCAGATGAAGTTTCCAGCAACAGAACTTGGAGGACCCATTCAAATCACAGCAGCATGCCAAAGTCTCCCAGAACCAAAGGAATCTTTCCCCAAAACAAATCCCAGTCTCACTCTGAGAAGACGCAGTCAGCTCACAACTCTCCAGGTTGTGAAGAGTTTAGACATCCTGCCTCCCCACCTGCCACCTCCTTCCAATAACCTAGTACATATGACCCCCGCATAGTCTCCCTTCTTACTGAAATCATGAGTGTTAGGACAGAAACCAGGTTTCTTATCTGTCTCCCTATGGCATTTACTCAGCAAACAGCTAGTATTTGACTCATTGATGATTTCATAGAACAACTCGATATTCCAATAAGACCAGAGACAAATGATTTCAGGACCAGGAAATTACTATTTTCAGTTTTGTTCATATTAAGTACAGAAGGGTTCTCCCATGCCTTTCAAGATAGAATATTAAAACTGTCTGTGCTGGTGACACACTTGGGACACCAGAGTTGGAGCCATACAGTGACAATCTCAAACATTACCAAACAAGTCAGTCGAAGCTGTGTTACAGGCACACCTGCATTCAAAGTCTCACAGCAGCTTTAGAAGGAAGTGTCGCCATTTTTGCGTGGTCACCCTTCAGTGCTGAGTTGTTGTGCGAGCAGAGCCATTTGCTATTCGTACCTTAGTTTTTCATAAGGTCACCAACCAAGATTCTGACTTGCTCTGGGGAGCATTTTGTCCTCCGTTGTCTGCTTCTGCTCAATCTTCTATTTTCCGCCTCACCACAAAGCCCAGAGTTCTGATGGACAATTGTCACAAAATAAAGTTAAAGTCTTGGGCATGTTGGCAAAAGTCCAGCTATACCAGGACTTGCCTTGGGAGTGTACTTATAATTTGGGTATAAGGCCATTAAATAAAAGGGAGAGAAACAAAAACTGAAATGGGACTTGGAGAATGAAGGTATTGAAGTAAGAGTCTGTGTTTTTTTCTGTCCTACAGTGACCAAAACTGACGAAGTGAAGATTATCATGGTGAAGCATTACAGAGTAGGTCTAGATGAAAAGTACGAAGTAACAAAGAAGTGGTCTTTGGATGATCTTCAGATGATTGACGGAAAAGAAGCTGATACCGTAAGCGTTAGAGTTTTATGAAGGTAGCACAGGATCGATACACAGCCGATCATTATGTTCGATGACCTGCTTTATATTCTTGGCATGTACGAAGTGTTAAGATGACATTATATTGTTCTTAAGTGGTATGGATTAATTTCCTGGGATGATCTATACTGGCTTTTATGAGTTGGACTCTGACTTTTGTCTATGAAATCTAAAAGCATCTTTCCCAAGATCTTCTTGACAATTTAAACACAATCTACCACTCAGTCCTGCAACTTTAAAAGCAACTTTCTCCAACAGATATTTTCCATGGCCACCCTCTCTAACCCAGGTTAAGTTTTGGGATTCCTTTATTCTCTCAGCCATAGCATTTGATGGTACCATCAACTCAGTGACTGTACCAATCAAAAATGGTTGAACTTTGTCACTTTCTGAACCATTTTGTACTCCATTACTACCTTTTGGGTCACATAGAAATAGCACTTTTAAAACTAAGTGTATTTGACAGGACTTTCAATCAAAGAATTGAGATATGTCTTTGCTTTGTGTCCTAAGTACTCACATTTTATGAAAATATGCTTTACATAAATGTTGAGTACTTAGAAACTGATTAAACATATTATGGCATGTCCACAAAGTTAGATTAGTTTGCACCCAACACAAAATGTTAAACCTTAGCTTTTACATGTAATTATACATATATGTGTGTAAATTTATATATGAAATAAACTTTAAGAATTGTAGACAGAGATTGTTCATTCATTTCCCATCTGTTCAGACCTGAATAATCACACAGAAACTATATTAATTACAACCCTATTCAGCCAATGTCTCAGGCATATTTCTAGCTAGCCCTCATATCTTAAATTAGCCCATTCCAGCCGGGCGGTGGTGGCACACGCCTTTAATCCCAGCACTCGGGAGGCAGAGGCAGGCGGATCTCTGGGAGTTCGAGGCCAGCCTGGTCTACAAGAGCTAGTTCCCGGACAGGCACCAGAGCTACAGAGAAACCCTGTCTTGAAAAACCATAAATAAATAAATAAATAAATAAATAAACCCATTCCTATTCATCTGTGTATCTGCCACAAGGCTGTGGCTTACCGGTAAAGGTTCTGAGCATCTGTCTTCTTCAGCAACTACATGGCATCTCTTCAACTTCACCTACTTTCTTTCTATATCTCTGTTCAGACTTCCTGCCTGGCTTTACTCTACTAAATCATTAGCTGAAACAGCTTCTTTAATAACCAATGGTAACAAAACATATTCATAACATACAGAGGAGTATCTCAGATAAAATAATAATTCCCTGAGTGACAGTGGTACAAATTTTGAGTTATTTTCTTCATTCTACTTTTTGGCACTTACCAGATTTTTATATTGCATTGATTCTTAAGGGAAATCTATAGCACATATACCAACCTGTGGTTTAGAAATTTGCTATCCTCATACATTTTATTACACTTGACTTTTCCCCTAGCTCATCCTCAAAAATTACTTATGTCATAATTATTTCTGCTGAGTTTGATCAGCACCTGGTGATATAAATGAAGCCTGTCAACTTTGATCCATTTGAACCAATTTTCTGTATTCTATTTCTTCCCTACTTTCCTTGGCCTCTAATTCCATTGCACAGTTATTGATTCTTCCCTTTCCAACTTGAAGATTATGGTCTTTGAGAGTTAACCAGATAAAAATGGAAAGCTCTTCATTTTTGTTTCTCTTATTACTTAAGGACCTGCAATACTAAATTACCAGGAGAAATGCTATATTGCCCAAATAGTCACTCTCTTAAAAACTTCCCTTCCTGGCTCCTCTGGGAGTTTTCACCTTTCTCTTGGGGTTAAATCCTCAGGAGTAAATACTTACTGTGATTTCTATCAATTAGCAATGATACAGTGGTGATTTTTATCAATGGCAACGACACAGTGGTAAATAGAGCAATATAGGCCAGTTGTCAACTTTAAAATGGGAAGGACTGCAATTAAATTCAATTTGTAAACAGAAACAAAAATAATTTTGGATTTGGAGATTGACTGCTGTGTAGCAAGAAATAGGCTGGTGTACCAAATGTGGGTTGGGCTGACTGGGGTCTCGGTTCTTGTCTGGGCTCTGCCAGTAAATACATGGGTCACCCAAATGTCACCTCTTTAAAAATTATTATCCAAATTATACTTAAGGGGGTACTACAAATCCATGAGTTCCCTTCTCAGCTCTAGAATCTTAGCAGAGAAAAAAGAGGAGAGTGAGAAAGAAGGGGAGAGGGAAGAGGGGACTGTGTTCTATGTATGCGCTTGCTCTGCTTTAGTTATTAGGCTAAAGAGAAACAGTGACCTTTTCTAAGTATTTCCAGGACATGAAAGATTTTCCCCACATGGTAAGGAGCAAGTGTTGGGAGAGAAAACTGTCTGGAAGCGTAACCAGTGTGATGTTTTTTGGATGAGATTCTCTATAATTGTTCTTCAACTGCCACAAGGCAGCTAGAGAAGCATTGTGAGGTGTGACTTGCGAAGTGCAGCCTTGGAAATCATTGCACCATTGTTTGTCATTTATTTTTGCTTTGCAAACAGAGTCTTCCTATGTAGCTCAGGCTATCCTGGAACTCATTATGCATCTCATACTGGCCTCAAAATCGTGGATATCTTCGTGCATCATCCTCCCAAGTCCTAGGAGTCTGGACATGTGCGGCTATGGTCAATCTGTATATCACTTTTTTAAAGCATCGGTGTGTGTTTTTGTGTAGAAAGGTACATGTATGTAGGTGTGTGTGTGTGTGTAAGTGTATGTTCAAATATCTTCCTCAATTGCTCCTCAATTTTTTCATGTGTCTGTTTTTGTTTTTCAAGACAGGGTTTCTCTATGTCCTGGAACACTTTCTATAGACCAGGCTGGACTTGAACTCAGAGATTTACCTGCTTCTGCCTCCCAAGTGCTGGGATTAACAGTGTGTGCCACCACTGACTGGCTGTTCCATATTTTTCTTTGAGGCAAAGTCTCTCAACAAATCCGCAACTTCCTATTTTTAGTCTAGCTAACCAGTATAGTGCCATTAATTTTTTTCAAGGAGCAGTGTTGATTTCTGTTATTTAAGTTGTGTGTGTGTGTGTGTGTGTGTGTATGTGTGTTTCCCCCTCTTTTAATTTGCCTGGCTGGGATTATTTATTCGTTATGTTTTCTTGGATGTAGTTAACCCCTTTAGTTTGGTTTTCCTTCTAGCACCTTTTATAAGTATAGATTTGTAGATAGATATTGCTTGAACTTAGTTTTATCCAGGAACGTCTTATTTTCTCCATCTATTGTGATTGACGGATCACAATATCTGGGCTTTCATCTGTGGTTTATAGAGTCTGTTGATCATCCGTTCAGTCCCTTCTGACTTTTATAGTCTCCATTGAGAAGTCAGTTATAATTCTAATAGGTCTGCATTTATATGTTATTTGGTCTTTTTTCCCCTGCAGCTTTTAGCAGTCTTTGTTTCATTCATTTAGTGTTTTGATTATTATGTACTGAGGGGAATTTCTTTTCTGGCCTAGTCTATTTGGTGTTCTGTATGGTTCTTGTACCTTGGTAGCCATCTCCTTTAGGTTAAGGAAGTTTCTTCTATGATTTTGTTAAAAATATTTTTTGTGGCTTTGACCTGTGTTTCTTGAGTGTTTCCTAGATGATTCCAGGTTTCCTGGATGTTCTGTGCCAGGAGATTTTTAGGCTTAACATTTTCTTTGACATAATAGAAGATATCCACTTCTGTCATCAATGTCTGTGAATCTCTCTTCCATCTCCTAAATTCTGTTGATGGAGACTTGCCTTTGAGTTTCCTGTTCAAGTTACTAATTTTTTTATTTGCATATTTCCCTCACTTTGGGTTTTCTTTATTGTTCGATTCCACTTTCAGGTCTTGGACTGTTTTATTCACTTCTCCCACTGTTTGTGTTTTTCATAGGTTTCTTTAAGGGATTTATTAATTTCCTCTTTAAGAACTAATATATCCATAAAGGCTATTTGAAGGCATTTTTCTTATGCTTCAGCCACCCTGCAATACTCAGGACCTTCTGTGGTCAAATAGCTGGGCTCTAGTGGAGACATACTGTCCAGGCAATTATCTGTTTTTTACGGGGCATCTAAGGCATTTGTGAAGATTTTAATTCTAGCTGCTGAAATCTGGACTTGTCTTTGTTGGGTAGGTATTTTGTTCCCTGATTTCTTTTGCCCTCCTTGGTTCTCAGGAGAATGTGTTGGCTGTATGTTGCCTGGTGGGGAATTCTTCCGGCATCCTGATAGGTGTGGACATTGGGTTTCCAGGTAAAATGTGTTTCTTTATGAAAGATATCTCCTGTACTTTACAGTTTCAATGGTGTCATGTCTCAAACTTTAATGTACACATGGGATTGAGTTAATTATTGCCTGAAACTTTTTACCAAATTGTGGTGTGTTTAAATATGCCTAAAATAAACTTCTCGATGTCAGAATCTCAATGTTTGAACCAACACTGGCTGCCGAGTCATGTTGAACTGAACTGCCTTCATGTCCCTGAGATGGTCACCCACAGTGTTCCACCAGGGTCTGCTTAGTCCCGTGGGAAGGGAGGCAGAGAGTGAGGAGAGGCCACAACAGTTTGCCACAGAGCTGGAGATGAAGCTAGGAGATTGGCTCTGGAGGGGAGGAGGGAAAGTCAAGATCTGAGGCTTACCTGCCATCCTTGCTGGCTTCCGTGCTTTCCGGGCAGGCTTGGCCTGCAGGTTCCCAGAGAAAACCTGCTCTAGTTGTGGGCTAGGATAACAGATGAGTGAAGAAGGAGGTTGGGGAAGACGGTCTGCAGGTTCTACTGGAGATGGAGGCAGAGAAGTGGGGGAGGCCAAAAGCACGAGGTCTTCCACAGAGATGGTGTGGGACTGGAGGTTGTAGGGAGTGGTGGAGATCTTAGTTAGGCTACCTGCTCCCCTGACCAGAGTGACCTACAGGTTCCCAAGGAATGCCTGCTGGAGTTGGGGGCTGGGATAAATGAATGAATTGGCAGTGGCAGTAGATCTGTGTGATCCATTGGAGAGAGGAGAAGGGGGGAAGAGAGGCTGCAGCAGATGGTCTGCTAGAGAGCTGGGGATGAGTCCGGTAGATCAGATTTAGAGGACTGGAAAGAAAGGTGAAGATCTGCTCTTAGCCTACCTGCTTCTCTGACCAGAGTGGGCTGCAGGTTCCCAGGGAATGCCTGCAGGAGCTGGGGACTGGGATAAAGCGAAGATTGTACTGTTGACTTTCAGGAGAGATTCTGTTTGGCTCTGCTAGCTTTGGAAAGCTGATGTGTAGATTTTAGAAACATGCCTGATACTGAGACTTTACAATCAATAGGCACAGCCAGCAAACCGTGGGGATCCAGGAAATGACTCTGCATGAAAGCAAACCCAGTCTCTCTCTCTCTCTCTCTCTCTCTCTCTCTCTCTCTCTCTCTCTCTCCCTCTTCTAGGACAATCCATTTTTTGATCTGCACTTCAAGAAAGTGTACAGCCTGGAGGCCTACAGCTGTGCCTCTAAGTACTCCTTTGCTCGAACGGTGAACCGGCTGAACCATGCGTATCTTAAGAAGGACTTGCACATCGTGAACTTCGATTCGACTTACATCAACGATGACTCCATTTGGTCCTCCAACAACAAGGACTGCCTGGTCCTCATGAGAATATGCTTTTATGCTTTCAATCTTGTGTGCTTGTCCCTGTGTCCCCTGCCACTTTGAAGATGTAGCCCAAAGTCCTCCATCAGTGTCCAAAGAAATGGTTCTCCAACTTAATACTGATAGTCAAAAGTTTGTTTTGCCTCTTCCTCGATGGCTATTATTCAAACTAAAATAAAACGAGGCTTTGTGAATGGCAGTGAAACGGGTTTTAGTGCAACTGTTAACAGTCGGGACTCTTTGGGTTCATTGTGTTCCATGATAATTTCCAAAGGTGTTGCATGGCTTGGGCTAAGTTAGAGTCAAGAAAAAACTTTAAAAAAAGATCCTAGGTTCATAAATAATATTTTATCTTTTGAAGGTATCAGTACTGTTCAAAATAGTCTTCAGATCCAAGGTAATTCCTCTAAAAATGCCAATCAATGGCCTGTATTGTAGAAAAGCAAAAGCCAATCTTCAAAATTCATACAGAACTGCAAAAGGCTCCAGGTAGCAAAAATAAATAAACAAAACCTTGAAAAATAAGTACAAAGTTGAAGGACTCATGCTTTCTGTTTTTGAAACTCACTACAATGCTATTATAATTAAAACAGCATGGTACTCGCATAAAAATAGTTCTAGAACATAAAGCTACTAGGTTCATACAAGGAAGAAGGAATAATCTCTTCAAATGATGAGGCTAATGTAACTGGATATCCACACAAAAGAACTGAGTCAGACACATAGCTCACACCAGCTATAAAAATTTAAATGAGTCATTAACCTAAGCATAGTGACTAACCCCATAAATTATTAGAATGAAATATAAGGGTAAATCTTAAGGATTTGGGTATTGACACTGGATTCTTATGATGTCAAAAAAAATAACTAAACCAGACTTCATGTAAAGATCTCTTTGCACCAAAGGACATTATCAAGACATTGAAAATAAGCCTTGAGGGAAAAATATATATCTTCAAATCATCAGTTTGAAAAAGACTTAAAATTCAGACACACAGAGAACTCAGTGACACAAAGCAACCCATTTTTTAAATGGGCAAAGGACGTTGGCAGGTATTTCTGCAAATGCACATATAGCCAAGAAGCATGAGAACGATGTCCAGCATCACTAGTCATTAGGCAAGTGCAAATCAAAACCCAAGTGTCAAGTCAGATCTGCTTTCATCCCCTAGGATGACTATGTATTTATGAAATGAAAAGGATAAGAGTTATTGAGGGAGCAGAAGGAGAGAGAGCACGAGCAAGGAACTCAGGACCACGAGGGGTGCACCCACACACTGAGACAATGGGGATGTTCTATCGGGAACCCACCAAGGCCAGCTGGCCTGGGTCTGAAAAAGCATGGGATAAAACTGGACTTGCTGAATATAGCGGTCAATGAGGACTACTGAGAACTCAAGAACAATGGCAATGGGTTTTTGATCCTACTGCACATACTGGCTTTGGGGGAGCCTAGGCAGTTTGGATGCTCACCTTACTAGACCTGGATGGAGGTGGGTGGTCCTTGGACTTCCCACAGGTCAGGGAACCCTGATTGCTGTTCGAGCTGATGAGGGAGGGGGACTTGATTGGGGGAGGGGGAGGGAAATGGGAGGCGGTGGCGGGGAGGAGGCAGAAATCTTTAATAAATAAATAAATTAAAAAAAAGAGTTATTGAGGGTGTGGAGCGACTGGCGCCTTTTATTGCTAGTGGGGATGAGATGCTACAGCCATGTAAGAAATGGGTCTGATGGTGTGCTGGAGCAGCATATTCCCACTGCACACCAACTGGCCTCAGGGAGTCATGGGACCAAAGAAAAATACAACCTACTGGGGACTTACTAACAGAAATGTAGGTCTTGGTAGCTAGGACACCATTCACATCCTTGCAATCTGGGTGAGGACAAAAGCTGTAATGTACTTTGTTTAATCACACTAATACTAAAGTGTCCCTTAAAGAACTGGTACTGATGGCCTTATCATTCTGGGTTCAGTTGTAAAACGCATAACTCTAATGATTTATTTTAACTTTCTGGGAAGCAAGGAAAGAAACTGAGCGGTGCTGTTCAAGGGTAGTCACAGAACGTGCAAATCTTGATGGCTCATTCCTTACAGGCAGTTCCTAAGAAGAAGCAAAGTTGCCAGATGACTCAGCGAGGGCAGACCCAAGCGCAGTGACTTGAATAAAGTGTTGTACATACTATTGTGTTGGCTTATAAGGGTGTTTACAGCATTCTACATAATACCAAAAGATGAAAACATCATGTGTCCAACAAAAGATTAGTGAATTGACAAAATATGGTATAGTCAAATAATAGAATATTATTCATCCTTGAAAGAGATAAAAGTTTTAATGTGCACTATGACATGGGTGAATTTTGAAAATGTTATGCTAAGTTAAATAATATATAAAAGAAAGGACAGTTTTTACATGATTTGACTTTATGAATTATTTGAAGTAGATACATTCAGAGGCAGAACAGAGGAAGAGATAAGAGACTGGAGGAGAGAGGAGCGAAGGCATTCTCAATTGTTACACAGTTTCTGTGATGGAAATATTTTAGAAATGGAAATCATTGTGTAACATGGTGAATGTGGCTAACACTACTTTCTTGTACATTTAAAATGGTTAAAATAGCCGATATAATGTTTATATTGAACATAAGTAAAAATGATGTGATAAATAAACAGCATATACTACATACTTTAAATGAATATATGATAAATGAACTACATGATAATTGACAATATAAAGGAAAGAAGACTATCCTGAGTCTCCTAGAAGGAAAATATGTGAACCCTTTACAAACTAAGAGCGGGGAAAACTTTCCTTGCTGTTACTCAAAATCCAGAAACTGGGTAAATATTAACTATATAAAATACATTTGAAAAAACTACAGCTAAAAGGAAATTGCAAAGTGGGAAAAGCCACAACTTGTGTAAACGTCTGCATATCTGTACTGCTACAGTTGAGGGGTTTAAAAACGGCCAGCAGCCAATTGGAAACTATAAGCAGACACTTGACAGGAAAGGAATTGCCAGTGACCCTGGAAAGCTTGGAAGGATGCTCGACCTTGTCCGGAAGAGAAACTGGAACTGTATCTGTGGATGAGCTCATTTCTTGTCTTAGAGGGAAACCCAAAATATTGATAGTATTTCATTGACATAAAAAATAAAAAGTTCTTGGGTTTATTACTGCCTGAGAGAGAAAGTTGACATTTTTTTTCAAACTGTGTGTGTGCACGCGCGTACATATGTACTTTTAAATGTGGTGATCCCAAAGATGTATCCATGTTGGAGGAGCTACAAAATGACATATGAGCAGGCATGTGTTGTTTGCAAAATTTTTAGATGAGTTCAAGTATCTAATATTGGATGATTAATAAAATAAATTACTGTGTAAAAATGAAACAGGGAACAGGAGAAAATAGGGAAGGCTTCAGCACACCCTGATTGGGGGTAGGAGTAGATAATTAGAAGCAAAGAATCTTATGTTTTTGCTTAGGAATACATATTTGGGTTTTTCAGGTTGGCTCTAAGTTTTAAGGAAGCCATTAATCATTAAACCCTGTCCATTTGGGGGCTCATTACTCTGGGGTTCTTTGGCTAGGTGTCTGGACTACATGCTATACATGTGGGTAACTTCTAGCTGTTTCCTAGCCTTCTAGATCTCTTTATAAGAGAGAGATATTTCAAGAAATCCTCAACTTTATTCTGTTTTCTGGCTCTGTCACACCTCCTTCACTGAATATTTGGGATTTTTTTCCTGGAGATGTCCCCTTCTGTGCTGTCATTTGCAGGACAGCTCCTATTAGAAAAGAGAAATAGAACACATACTTACACCTTTTCTCTATCCATCAATGTCTAAATATCATAATGATGACAAATTGATTTTTAGTATTGTAAGATCCAAGGGCTTACACGTGACCAAAGACATGAAGGACAAGCCTAGTTTTCAAGGAAATTTCAAACTTCGGTTCATATCAAGTCCATTAGCAATCCCATTGGTCAAAACAAGCAAGCCCAATCCAAAGTATGAAATGGGGAAGTACACTCCACTTACCAGGGGATCAAACCAAGACTGTGAGCAAACATCTTTGCTTTCTTGGAAAAAATTTGGGTCAGTATATTATTAGTTAACATAATTACTTTCCAGATATTATAGGGTTGAATAAATAATATTTAGCTAACAACAATATTTATAAAATTCTGTACCCCCCAAAATCCTCTTGAAATATCATATGTGCAGCTATATTAGAGTAAGAAGGAAGGGAACATGACTGTAAACTGCTGCTGTCTGCTTGGGGTAAGAAGGAGAAGTGAAATTATCGTTTGTTGAACACAGAGTTTCAGTTTGGCAAAAATAAGGACAGTTCTGAAGTGAGTGATGGTAACATCACACAATATTATAAATTCTATCACTCTACTTTTTTCCTGAGATAGGGTCTCACTCTATATATCGGCCTAGCCTTGAACTCACAGAGGTCTGGCTGCCTCAGCCTACAGAGTGCTGGGATTACAGGTATGTGACTCTGTGCAGAATAGATGCACTTAAAAGCACCACCAAACTCTACCCATAAAGGTGACTAAAATGCAGTCAGGTGTAGTTATGTATGTCTTTAATCCCAGCACTCTGGAGGCAGAGGAAGGGGGATCTCTTTGAGTTCAAGGTCAGCTTCATCTACATTGTGAGTTCCAGGACAGTCAGAGCTTCACAGTAATGATATGACAACAGCTGGCCTCTCTCACACCCTGGCATGTCATATTGCCGACAATGCCACCATGGCTTGGAATACCTGCACGATTCAGCTCTCTAGTCGCATGCGGTGGTAAGTGGTGAAATAGTGACCAGTAGGAGGGGAAGCCAACAGATAACACTTCTCTTTTTTTTTCAACTTGTTCAGAATTGTAAGACAAATCTCTAAGATTCTCATAAATTGCCACAAAATCAGAGCTCAGTACAAAAGCCTGAGGGCCTCTAGAGCAGAGGAAGCACTCTGCAGACTATGATGAAACCTAGGCCCCGTATTTAAACATAAAAGAAACAGAAGTTCAAGAAAATCTAAGTGAATCGCCTGGGAATATCTTCTACATCAAAGCCAAGGCCCTAATAGAAAAGGAATGGGTCTTTGAAATCTAGAATGGGAACACTGTATAGACATCACATTCTTAAACCCTCAATTTTTTTTCACCCTCAGTGACAACAGTCTCTTTCCTGAGAACAAAGAGCAATCTCCCCATGTCTGGAA